GGTCGGGGGGAGGGGCTGCTGCAGGCTCAGGAGTCGAGACCTCAGTGGGGGGCTGTTTTTATACAGTCTCTGTAGGGCATGGATGAGGGATGGGGGCCGTGTCTCCGACTGCAGCTGAGGGGAGAGAATCGAGGACCCGCCCCCCCCCAGTGGATCCAGGTTAAACCCCATCCCCTGCCTAGCCCCCTCTAGTCCCCAGGGAGCAGCGCTATGTGGGGCAGGCCGCAGAGCCCATAGCGAGTGGAGTAGGGGCATGGGCCGGCTGCACAGGGTGCAGATCAGGGGCGTGGCCAGGGCGCTGTGCTGTTCCCTGCCCCCCAGGGCCCATAGGGGGCGGCTCGGGCTTTGCTGCTGTAGCCGTACCGGCAAAGCCCTGTGGTTGTGGCCACCGGTCCCCCTGGCCATGCCGGGAAACCCCCCCCGGTGGAGTTTCTACCCGCAGAGTCCTTTGGCCAGCAGAGAAAACCCGGTCCCCTGGTCCGAGAACTGCCTTGCTGGGGGCACTCCCTGGAGATTGGGGAGTTGCCGGCCCGGCTGAGCCGGCAAATCTCCTCCAAAAGCGGCGTTGCCCCGGCTGGTGTCTGCGCCGGGCGGTTTGGCCGGTTGCGTTTGTGCCGGGCGCTAGAGCACGGGCTGCCTTTGCCAGCTCCCCCCGCCCCGGCACACACCGGGTGCCCCGCGCGTAAACGTCCCTGTGCCTGCCCTCTGGCACATTTCCACAACGTGTGGTGGGATCCTGGTGCCCTCAGGGAATTGTGGGAGCTGGGGGTCACGTTCCCCCACTTCCCTTCGCCCTGTCCTGCTGCCGGCTCTTCTCGGGCAGGGATACGGCTTATACCGGACCAGCCGCGTAACGCTGCCCACCGCGAGCGAAACCCGCTGCGCCGGTAACAGCCATGCAGAGCCAGGACGCCTGGGTTCTGTCCTCAGCTCTGGAAGAGGAGCGGGGTCTGAGGGGGCTGGGAGCCAGGACTCCTGGGTTCTCTCCCTGGCTCTGGGCGGGGAGTGGGATATGGTGGGGAGAGGGTGGAGCTGGGAGCCAGGACTCCTGGGTTCAGTCCCTGGCTCTGGACGGGACTTGATCTGTTAACGCTGTAGATGCCCGTCAGTAGCGATGCCACAGCCCGCTCTGCGTTGCCAGGGAATTATGGGATAGAGTCGGGCTGGGGGCAGGCAGCGACCTCCCTGGCTATAAGGAGCCCCGGCCGGGAATGCTGCCAGGCCAGCCGTAGGTGAGTACTCCAGCTCCCCTCCCCCGCCCCCCGATCGGGGCTGGGCCGCCCCTCCCCGCTGACACCCCCCCATTTCCCTTGCCTCCCCCCAGGAGGAGCGGATCCGGCGCGGGGACGACCTGCGCCTACAGATGGCCATCGAGGAGAGCAAGAAGGAGGCGGTGCCGGCCAAGGGCGAGGAGGTAACCCCTCCCTCTGGGACTAACTAGCGGGAGGGGCTGACATGGGAGTGGAGCCCGGGGCAGGGAGCAGGGTCTACCTGGCTGGGGCGGGGCCCAGCTTGGGTTCGGGGGTCTGAGTTGGGGGTGGAGACGGGGTGGGGTTTAGCAGGGGGCTCTGACTTGAGGGTGGGGTCTGATTGGGGGCGGAGCCTCTTGCAGGGGCTGGGAGCTAGCAGGGGGCCCAGATTCAGGGACAGAGCCTGGGCTGATGTCGAGCTCAGGGGTGGGCAAACTACGGTCCAGGGGCGCATCCGGCCCTCGAGCTCTCGCCGGGGAGCAGGGGTCGGGGGCTCTGCACGTCACCCCTCCGGCTCCTATGCGTAGGGGCAGCCAAGGGGCTCCATATGGTGCCCCCGCCCCAAGCGCCGCCCCCGCAGCTCCCATTGGCTGGGAACCACGGCCAATGGGAGCTGCAGGGCGGTGCCTGCAGACGGGGCAGGGCGCAGAGCCGCTTGGCCGCGCCTCTGCATAGGAGACGGAGGGGGGGACGTGCCGCTGCTTCCGGGGGTTGGTTCAGGTAAGCGCCGGCCAAAGCCTGCACCCCTGAGCCCCTCCCGTGCCCCTGCCCCAGTCCTGATCCCCTTCCTGCTCTTCGAACTCTTCAGTCCCAGCCTGGAGCACCCTCCTGCACCCCCACCCAAGAGCCCGCACCCCATCCCGCATCCTAACTCCCAATTTCATGAGCATTCAAGGCCTGCCATACAATTTCCATACCCAGATGTGGCCCTCGGGCCAAAAAGTTTGCCCACCCCTGATCTAGGTATTTGGGATCTGACTTGGGGGCGGGATCTGTGGCAGGGGGCGGGGTCTAGGCCTAGATTTGGGGGCGGAGCCTAGGTGTCGGGGTGTATCTGGGGTGACCAGCTGCCCTGTCTCACCACGTTTCTCCCCCGCAGTCGTCGCTGATGGACCTGGCCGATGTCTTCACCTCGCCGGCCCCCCCTGCTGCTGGGGACCCATGGGGTCCCCCCGCCCCCACCGACCCATGGGGTGCCTCTGTGCCCGCTCCCGCGGGGCCGCCTGCCCCTGACCCCTGGGGAGGGACTCCTGGGGGCGTGGCTTCCACTGGTGACCCATGGGGGGCATCCGCCTCTGTCACGGCCCCGGGAGACCCCTGGGGGGGGCCCCCGGCCGTCGCCAGCTCCGACCCCTGGAACCCTGAGGGGACGGGCCCTTCCCCACTCCCTGGTACGTCTCTGCATCGTGCGCATCACTCCAGTCCCTGGGCGCCGGCCCCTCTGGCCCCCTCCTGCCTTTGTCACTAAAAAATGCTGGGTCCCAGTGTGTGGGGGTGGGGGGAGTTCGGTGGCCCCATCCCTGTGCAAGGGGGGGCAAATCTGTGTCCCCCACTGAACACAATGGAGCGTGAGGGGAGCTATCAAAGCTCTTGCCACAGCAGGGTGGTATCCGCGTCCCTGATGGGGAAACTGAGGCACAGAGGGAGGCCATGGCAGGGCCAGAAACAGAACCCAGGTCGGCTGAATCCTGGCTCTCCCCATAGGGCCGTGGTGCTGGGGAAGCAGCCCCCTGGCTAGGATCAGCCCCAAGGGCCCCACAGCGGGGAGATGGTGACCCCCAGGCCAAGTCCCCTCCAGATCCCGGAGGCGGGTGGGCTGGAAGCAGGAGGTTGTGTGTTGCGGGAGGATTCTGAGCTGTGCCCGTGACGCTCCTCGGCCCGTCCCTGGGGATAGTCCGTGCCAGTCCTGGAGCAGAGGTGGTCAAACAACCCTGCCTGCTGGGGAGAGTGCCCCCGCCGAGCCCCCCGGCGCTCCCTGCTGAGCTCCCTGCAGCACTGTGCCCCATAGCACCATCACAGGGCATCGGGGCCAGCACTGTGGGCTGGGGAGAGTGCCCACACCCCGCTCCCCACAGCACAGAACCCCCTGCTGAGCCCCACTCCTCGCAGTCAGGCACTCCCTGCCGAGCCCCCTGCAGCCTAGCGCCACCTCGGGGCATTGGGGCCAGCACTGCCTGCCAGGGGAGAGCCCCCTGCTGACACCCTGCCCCACGGCCTGCAGTGCATTGTGGGTGTATGGGGGGGGGGAGGGTACTGGAGCCACTGGCCCCGGCTGCTAACTGCTCTTCTCTCCTCCAGCTGGGGGCGTTGCAGTGAGCGGAGCGGCCCCCGCCAGTGACCCGTGGTCGTCAGGCCCAGCCGCAGCCCCCCAGGGGAAACCCGCGGCCGACCCCTGGGCCCCCGCGCAGACCTTCCCCGACCGCTGGGGAGGGTCGCCTTCGAGAGCCAGCACCAACGGCACCGCAGGTAGACGCCTGGGTTCTCTCCTTGCCTCTGGGTTGGGACTGGGGGCTACTGGTCAGAGCAGGGGGGCGCTGGGACTCAGGACACCTGGGTTCTCTCTCCTGCTCTGGGAGGGGAGTGGGGTCCAGTGGATAGAGCGGTGGGGGGCTGGGAGCCAGGACGCCTGGGTTCTCTCCCGTGTGTGGACTCCCCCTCGCTCCCCGTAACTCACCTCTTCCCCCCCCTCCAGCCGGTGGCGCCTTTGAGCCGGACGAGTTCTTGGATTTCGACAGCCTACGCCCGGCGCTGCCCAAGTCAGGGAGTAGCACAGGTGGGCTTGGGGGGCCCCCGACTGCCTCCCCCTCCCCCCATTGCCTTCCCTCCCCCGTTTGTACTTCACTGCCCTGAGGGTGTGCCGGGCTGCTGGGAAATTGGGGGCGGGGGGCACTGAATACATTCTCCCTGATGGGAGCCTGTGCCCCATTCCCTGCCCCCCTCAGCCAGCCAGTCCCTGCCCTGGGGCCGGATGGGAGCTGGTGCTTGGGGGATGTGGGGGGAGGGGGTTTAACCCCTTGTCCGGAGGTTGGGTTATGGGGTTATCAGTGGGTCACTGCCTGACCAGGAAGGTGTCTGCAGTGGGTCCCGCTGGGACCAGTCAGTATTTTCCCCAGCGATTGGGCTTGCGGCGATTGGGCTGGGCGGGTGTCTGAGCCCCTCTGTCTCTGCCCCCCAGGGGAGCTGGACCTGCTGGCCGGGGAGGTGCCGGTGTCGCGCTCGTCCGGCGCCCGGAGCCCCAGCACCTTCGACATGGCGGCTGTCGGGGGCTCGCTGGCCGAGGCCTCCAAACCCACCCGCAAGACCCCCGAGTCCTTCCTGGGCCCCAACGCCGCCCTGGTGGACCTGGACTCGCTGCTCAGCAAACCCCACGCGCCCCCCACCATCAAGACCTCCAACCCCTTCCTGGCCACAGGTGAGCGCCCGGCCGGACGCCTGGGTTCTTCTGCTCTGGGACGGGGGTGGGGTCTAGTGTTGGCGGGGGGGCGCTGGGAGCCAGGACACCTGGTTTCTCTCCCGGCTCTGGGAGGGGGGTGGGGTCTAGCAGTTGGGGGGACTCCTGGGTTCTCTCCTGGTGTGTGGCTGGTCTCTCACCCTTCTCCCCTCCGTTCCAGGGACGGCGCCCGCGCCCGTGGTGTCGGCACCGGGAGCAGCCGCCGGTGCCTCGGCCACCAACCCATTCCAGCCGGCCCAGCCTGCCTCGCTGACCCTCAACCAGCTCCGCGTCAGCCCTGTCATGGGGCTGTGCCCCCCCGCTGCCCCCTTCGCCCCCCCCATGGTCTCAGTCACCCCCCTGGGGCCAGTCGTGCCCCTGGCCTCTGTCTCCCCCATGGTTGGGGTCCCGCCCCCTGGCCTGTCCCCCATGGCCATGCCCCCCATGATGCCCCCCCAGCCTGTCGTACCCACCAGCGCCTCTGTCCAGTCCATGGGCAACACAAACCCCTTCCTGCTATAAGGGGGCTGGCCCGGGGGTGGGGGGCATGAGGGGAGCCCCCCAAGGGGCTGCTGGGGGGAGGGGGAAGGGAGCCCTGGGGCAGCCCATGCCATGGGGGGGGCAGGTGGGAGGGGCTGCTGGGTGTGGCATCAGATTCTCCCCTTCATGGGCAGTACCCCCCCGTTACCTGAGAATTCATAAGTGGGGGCAGTGTTAAACCCCTCTCCCTGCATAGCTCCACCCCCATTGAGGCCATGCCTCACCCTAAGCTCCCCTCCAAGTCCTGCCCCATCTCTCGGAAGTGGGGGTGCTCCTGCACCTTTAAGTTATAGCTGCCCCCCCCCCCCCCGGGACATGCGGGGGCCCTGCTGCTGGGGGGAGGCAGTGATGGCTGCCATGACACCTCCCCCACGCCAGCATCTCCTTTGGAGCCACCTGGGCGGGGCCACTGGACACCCCCCCTGAGGGATTTGCAGTCGGGGGGGGCTGCCTTAATCACCCCCCCACCCCCCAAAAAAGCTCACGGAGCAGGGCCAGCCAGGCCGGCAGTAGGATAAACCTAGGACTGGACCCCGCCGGGGCTCTGCTGCCGGCCTGTGGACTGAAGTGTGTGGGGGGGGCAGTTCTGAGCCGCACATGCCCCCCTGTCCCTGCCCAGGATGTGCCGCATCGACAGCACCCCCTGCTGGCCGTGTGGTCGTAATCCCTGATTC